GGGTGTGATCATAGCTCACTGCAGCCTTAAACTCCTAGGCTCAGGTGATCCTCCTGCCTCAGCCTCTGCAGTACCTAGAACTACAGGAATGTGCTACCACACCTGGCTAATTTTTGTATTTTTAGTGGAGACAGAGGTCTCACTATGCTGCCCAGGCTGGTTTCGAACTCCTGGGCTCATATAATCTGCCTGCCTCAGCCTCCCAAATAGCTGGGCTAAAGGAGCATGACACCAGCTATTTTTACTGTTGTGTGTGTTGTGTGTGTGTGTGTGTGTGTGTGTGTATGTTATAGAGACGGGTCTCACTATGTTGCTCTGGCTGGTCTGGAACTCCTGTCCTCAAGCAATCCTCCAGCCTCATTCTCCAAAGTGACGGATTACAGGATGAGCCAGCAGGCTGGGCCACAAATATGTATTAATCATTGGCATCGTGAGGCACAGAGGAGGATACAAGGTGAGTAGGTACACATCTTGCCTCCAAGAGCTTAGTGTCTAGCCAGGAAAATGAGCATAGCCACAAATAACCTGAGTACAAGCTTGCATGGGATGTGTGCCACACTAAATATTATCAAGTATTGTAACCATCCAGAAAATAACAAAGAACAGTACAACAATAACCCACGTACTTACCTCCTAGCTTTGTTTAATTTTAACATTTTTGCCATATTTGCTTCAGATTTTTTTTTAAAACAAACAAAACATCATAAATACTCAGCAATAAAAGGGAAAGAACTATAGTTACTGATACACACAACTTATAGGAGTCTCAGGGAATTATGATGATTGAATAAAGCCAGTCCTAAAAGGTTCTATACCGTATGATTGCATTTACCTGACATTCTTGAAAGGACAGGATTGTAGAAATGGAAAACAGATTCACGGTTGCTAGGGATTAAGGATGGGATGGGGGCTGGAGCGAAGAGGATGAAAAGGCAACATGTGGCACGTGGTGATGGAATTGTTCTGTGTCTTCACTGCATCAATGTCAATGTGCTGGTTGTGATATTGTACTATCGTTTTGCAAGTGTTACCCTGTGGGAAACCGGGTAAAGGTTACATGGACTTCTCTGTATTATTACTGCATGCAAATCTATGATGATCTCAAATAAAAAGTTTAATTTAAAAAAGTCTCAAATACCATTAGGCCTCCCTTGATACTCTCTTCCATCCCATTCCTAGGGAGCCAGCAGTCGACCCTAAGATTTCCCTTCACCCATCCTGGGGATTGCCTTTCCCCTCTTCAGTGTTTGGTCACCAATAACCTGTATCTTCCTCTTTTTTGATTTATTTCTTTGTTTTGGAGGAACACATTCTGCAGCAGTTTCCTGGGAACAGGACTGTAAGAAAGAAAATACTCTAGGCCTTCAAGTTACTCACAATTACTCTAAGTGGTGTAAATTGGATAAAAAAAAAAAAAAGCTTATCCTGCTTGGGACTTTATTTTATTTTATTTTTTGAGACAGAGTTCACTTGTGCCAGGCTAGAGTGATGCCATGGCATCAGCCTAGCCACAGTAACCTCAAACTCGTAGGCTCAAGTGATCCTCCTGCGTCAAGAGGATCCCAAGTAGCTGGGACTACAGGACTGCACACCATGCCGGTTAATTTTTGTATATATATTTTTAGTTGTAATTAATTTCTTTCTATTTTAGTAAGAGATGAGTCTTGCTCAGGCTGGTTTTTTTTTTTTTTTTTTGAGACAGAGTTCACTTTGTTTTCCAGGCTAGAGTGAGTGCCGTGGCGTCAGCTAGCTCACAGCAACCTAAACTACTGGGCTCCAGTGATCCTTCTGCCTCAGCTCCCGAGTAGCTGGGACTACAGGCATGCGCCACCATGACCGCTAATTTTTTATATATATCAGTTGCCAATTAATTCTTTCTATTTATAGTAGAGACGGGGTCTTGCTCTTGCTCAGTGGTTTTGAACTCCTGACCTTGAGCATCGCCGCTCGGCCTCCCCAAGAGCTAGGATTACAGGCGTGAGCCACAGCGCCCGGCCTCAGGCTGGTTTTGAACTCCCGACCTAGAGCAATCCACCCACCTTGGCTTCCCAGAGTGCTAGGATTACAGGCGTGAGCCACCACACCCGGCTGGGACTTTTATTAATACTTCCTGGATCTACATATTCATGTCTTTTATAAATTCTGGACCTTATGTCTTCAAATATCGCCTTTCCTCACTCTTTTCATTCTTGCCTTCTGGAACTACTCTGGTTACACAGGCCTTATTCTTTCACTATCTATGTCCTTCCAATTCTCTCTCATGTTTTTCCTGTTTTTCTCTCTCTGTTTAGCAGTATGGGTCATTTCTTTAGATCTCTCTCCCTCTTTACTATTTCCTTTTCTTGAACATATCTGTCCATTCAGTTTTTTTTTTTTTTTTTTAATTTTTTTTTTTTGAGACAGAGTCTCGCTTTCTTGCCTAGGCTAGGTGAGTGCCGTGGCATCAGCCTAGCTCACAGCAACCTCAAACTCCTGGGCTCAAGCATCCTGCTGCCTCAGCTCCCGAGTAGCTGGGACTACAGGCACAAGCCACCATGCCGGCTGATTTTTATATATTAATATATTAGTGGCCAATTAATTTCTTCTATTTTTATGGTAGAGACGGGGTCGCTCAGGCTGGTTTGAACTCCTGACCTTAGCAATCCGCCCGCCTCGGCCTCCCAGAGTGCTAGGTTACAGGCGTGAGCCACCGCGCCCGGCCCATTCAGTTTTTAATTTCAAAGAATAAATTTTTAATTTCTGTAAATTCTATTTGGTGCTTTTAAAAAATTGTATAGGTCACATTTAAAAATTTTGTTTTTTAGACAGGGTCTCTCTCTTGCCTGGGCTGTAGTGCAGTGGCATCATCATAGCTCACTGCAACTTTAGACTCCTGGGCTCATGCAATTCTCCTGCCTCAGCCTTCTGAGTAGACGAGACTACAGGCATGCACATGATGCCTGGATAATTTTCTATATTTTGCAAAGATGGGGGGGTCTCACTACTGCCCAGGCTGGTCTTGAACTCTCGGCTTTAATCCAGCTTTCCACTTTGGCTTTCTAGAGTGCTAGGATTATAGGCGTGAGCCAGCCTGCCTGGCCTGCTGTTTTTTTTTTTTTTTGTTTGTTTTTGAGAAGAGTCTTGCTTTGTTGCACGGGCTAGAGTGAGTGCCGTGGCGTCAGCCTAGCTCACAGCAACCTCAAAAAACTCTGGGCTCACAGCAATCGCTGCCTCAGCTCCCAAGTAGCTGGGACTACAGGCATGCCCACATGCCCGGCTATATATATATATTAGTTGGCCAATTAATTTCTTTTCTATTATAGTAGAGACGGGGTCTCACTCTTGCTCAGGCTGGTTTCGAACATCTTGACCTCGAGCAATCTGCCCGCCTCAGCCTCCCAGAGTGCTAGGATTACAGGCGTGAGCCACCGCGCCCGGCTTAGTTTTAATATTAATGTCCTTCCTTTCCCATTTCTTTTATGGTTTTTATCTGATCTTTTGATCATCCAATGTTCTTGAGGTCTCATCTCTTTGTTGTTTCTGCTGCTGCTCACGGTGGAAATTCTGTAATTTGGGATTCTAAACCCATCTTCAGGACAAGGTTGTCTGTGGCCTAGGTTAAAGATGTATCCTCCTGAGGAATTTTATTTGTCTTATGGCCACTCAAAGGATAGCATTACTCCAGGACTCCTTTTTGTATACATTTCTCAGGTTGGCCCATTTGGACCACACGTGTAGTCTACATTTGAATCTGAAACTCAGTGAAGGCAGCCCCGTAGTTATGAATTTTCAGAGAAAACTTCTTTTCTTCACCTGGGACCCAACCCAACCCTCAATGGGGAAGCATCTTTGTCATCTTCCGTGTGGATGGACGGATGTTTTGTTCTGCTCTGCCGTTTCACGGAAGTCCGTGGGGAGCCCCAGCTCTGTGAAGGAGCTTGTCTCCTGTGGCTGGCTGGGCACTCAGGCCGAGGCCCTGGCTCACGGAGACTGGCCACGCTCTCTCCCCTGCCCGCCCGCCCCTCCACTGCGGGCCACAGCTGCATCAGCCCAGCCGCTCCTGCTCTGAGGTTCCATTTCCTCTGTTTTTGGGCCCTGGCGATTTCCTTTCCTCTCTGGCAAGTCACGCCGCCGTGCAGTTAAAAGGAGGTTTGCTGTAGCTGATCTAGCGTTTCTAAGTGTTTTGTCGTAGGAAGGATTTTCAGGTCATCTAGTCCATGGTATTGCCCTTTAGACTTTTTAAATTTAGAGATAAAGGGATTGTAGGAGTTTCAGAGAAGGAAAATGTAGCCGATGGAGGTGGGGAAGGGAGGAGGATCAGGACCGGCCTTAGAGAAGATGAATGTTGGAGGCCAGAGTCACAGGAGGGGCACAGAGGCAGGACATGCCAGCGCAGGTATGGAGAAGAGCTCTCAACTCCCTTTCTGCTGGGGGACAGTCTGCGAAGGGGCGACGAGGTTGGCGCCGACCACTGAGCAGCAGGGAGCTACGAAAGTCTTGCAGCAGGACACACATGGTCACAAGCTTTGTTTCCGGCAGTTTAAACTGGAAGCGTGTCCAGGAAGAATGGGTGTGGTGGCAGCAGGAGAGAGAGGGGTTGGAGGGATGATTCTGGGGCCTGTGGAAATAGCCCAGGTGGCAGGTAGTACAGCCCCGGCATGGGGGTAGTGGGGGGGTTATTGAGGAGGGGACCACTGGGAGAGAGAGGGTGAAAGAGACTCAGCTGAGCCAGATAAAGAAATCTGGGTCAAGAGCTGGGAGGAAATAGAAGACAAGCTGGGCCAGCACATTGTTTGAGTCCTGGGAAAAGAATTTAAAATATCAACAATTATCTCAGCTGCTGTCTACCTTTTCATATTGTTCAGATACTGCTCACAAATGCTAATAAACAGTTCATCTTCACTCTGTTTGCAGCTAAAGATGTTTTTAGGCCTCCTGATGAACAGGAGGCCTTTAAGTGGAAGATAGCACGTCCCCATAGTGCTGCCGGGAGTCAGTTGGGATGGTTTTGCTGTTCACAGGCCCCTCTGCCATGGCCAGTCGTGGGGCAGATGAGCCGTCCTCCAAGTCAGGGAGTCCAGACGGGGAAGGCGGGGTCCCCGAGCACCGATCGCTGCTCCGTCAGAGACTGGCCGTCAAGGAGCTCGTGGACACCGAGGCCACCTACTTGCACATGCTCCGGCTCTGTGGCTCCGACATCAGGAGCCGCCTCCAGCAGGTACTTGGGGGGGGACACACCCAGCCTGTCTGTCTAGGGGCGAACGTGGATGCCAGCTGCTGAGACCTCATGCCCATTCCCGGGGCAGGCTTGATGGAAAGGAGGCATGGCAGACGTGGAGTCTGACGGGCCTGTGAGCCTCAGTGCTTCCATTTATTGTCCGTGCCACCTTCAGCAAGGCCTTTCATGGCTTGGAGTCTTAGCGTGTTCCTCTGCTACGTGGGGAGAGGAATAGTCACCTCCAAGAATTAAATGAGCTAATGACAAGCCCTTTTCAAGTTTAGAACAGACTGCTCACACTGACCTACATTCTAATGGTCTCATTAGCAGGGTGGCGGCATGGAGAAATTATCACTGTGATGGGTTTCTATTATGGTGTTCATTTTTTACATCTTTTTTTATTTTTTCTGGTTTCAGAAATAATACAGGCTCTTGCTATAAAATTTCAAGCATCCCCTAGCATGTGAGCTCCATAAGGGCAAAGGTTCTGGTGTGAGTTCACTGTACCCAGTCTTCACACATAAATAATGCACTTTTAATTGCTATTTCTTGAATGAGTGAAATCTGAAGTTGATAATTTAGAAGGCAAAGGACATCGTTTTTTTCCACCCTCCATAAATTAGGATTTTTCTCCATAGGCATTAAACAAACATATATTGTTATTTATTTTAACAAAAATAAGAGCATACTCTACATATTGTTCTGCAGTTAGTGTTCTCACTAGAGTGTGTAAGCAGCAGCACATCCTTCTATGCCCTTGTATACATAAATATATGTATATGTCCTGCCTATTTTTTACAGTGGCATAGCCTGGTCCATAGGGCCTGGAGTTTAGAATGCATCTTTTTTTTTTTTTTTTGAGTCTCATTCTGTCATTCCAGGTAGAGTCCAGTGGGGTCATTGTAGCTCACTGCAACCTCATACTCCTGGGCTCAAGTGATCCTCCTGCCTCAGCCTCCCTAGTAGCTGGGACTACAGGTGCACATCATGACACCCAGTTAATTTTTCTATTTTTAATAGAGACGGGATTTGGCTCTTGCTCAGGCTGGTCTCGAACTCCTGAGCTCAAAAAAATCCTCCCGTCTTGGCCTCCTAGAGAGCTAGGGTTACAGGCTTGAGCCACCGCGCCCGGCCTGGAATGCATGTGGAGGTCATGGTGTCAGGCCCCAAGTATGTCAGAGCTGGAAGGAAGTCCAACTTCCCCCCCTCGGACGACAGATGGGAAAACTAAGAGAAGGAAAACGGCAGTTGGCGGCAGACCTAGGATAAAACCTAGTTCAGCTTTCCTTTCGTGCTGAGTACTGCATCTCCTACTCTCTTCTTGTAGAGTAATGGAAATACCTAATTTATAAAATTTCAAAACCCTTGCAAAAATGCCACTGGGCCCCGGATGGTGTGAGTGTTCTGTGCTGCTCTCCGGAGCCTGCAGATACGGCCAGTCCGTGGACCCAAGTCCCAGTGACCTCCCAGCTTCTTTGTTCCTTCCAGTTGCCGCAGGGAGATCTGGACGTCCTGTTCTCAAACATCGATGAAATCATCAAGGTTAACGGCAGATTTCTTCATGCCTTGCAAGAGACAGCCTCCAAGGAAGAAGAACAAGTATCCCTAATTGGTAAGCAAGAGACCTACGGAGTTGTCAGCCGTAGAGTCCTGTGGGATTGTTTTCAGCTCGTGGTCACGGCTGAACTGTCTCCAGAGTTCCGGGAAAACGCAGCTCCGTGGGGGTTTATTTTGGGGATCTCTGAACGCAACATCTCAGAGCCAGCAGGGCCCTCGAGTAATATTTAGTCCAATCATATCGCTTTACAGGGACTCAGGCCCAGAGACAGGGAGGGGACATCCTCGTGGTCACATAATTCCTAGTGACACAGCTGGGCCTTTAGTCTGGGTCTCTTCCTATTCATTCATTCCACGGCTATTTCCTGAGCTCCTGCGGTGTGCCATCATGAGATGTGCACAGCAGCAACGAGAGAGAGACACTTGTTCTCTTGGAGTTGACAAATTAGTGAGAGAGACAGAAGATGAACAGACCCACGAAAGAATTTTAGGTAGCGATTTGTAATCTGCAGTGATTTGTAATTTTAGGTAGCGATTTGTAATCTGTAAGTAAACAGTCGTAGTAACTTCCGGGTGTGAGGAAAGGCCTCCCGAGAGCGCCCATTTGAGCTGAGGTCTGATGTCAGGAAGGAGCCAGCCACGAACGGATCTGGAGGGAGACAGGGAGGGCGGCTGTGCAAAGGCCCCGGGGCAGGTAGCGCCTGGACTGCTTGAAGGACAGACAGAAGGTCCGTGTGGCTCCAGGGGAATTATCCAGGCGAGAATGTCGGGGGATCAGATAGAAGAGACAAGCAAGGACCAGGTGGAGCAGAGCCTTCTAGGCCATGGTGAGCAGTTAGGGTCTCATTCTAAGTGTGGTGAGAAGCCACCGGACGATTTTCACACGGTCTGATTTAGGTTTCTTAAAGATCCCTTTGGCTGTTGTGGACAGCGGGTTAGGAGGGGGTGGTGGGAGTAGAAGCAGTGAGACGAGTTGGGGGCCTTGCTGTAGCCCAGGCAGGAGATGAGGACGGCCTCCTGATTCTGAGGCGGCTAGGGTGGCCAGAGCAGTGCATGCAAACCTCACACCTGTCTCCTCGGTCCCATCTGCCGCCAGGATTTCCACGGCCGGGGGTTCCCCAATGAGGTCAGGGGAGGAAGGTGACTGGGACCAGTGGCAGAGAGGAGAAGGGGGCAGGGGTAGGGACACAGTGCAATGGCCACCCAACTCACCCTGGCCTTTACCCTACCAATTTTTTAGCCTTTCCTAGATGTGTATGATGATGATAGGGATTAAAAGTAACAAATACAGTTTTAAAAACCACTTTCTGAATGTTTACTAAATGCTAGGCACTGTTTTTTTTTGTTTGTTTGTTTGTTTTTTGAGACAGAGTCTCACTTTGTTGCCCAGGCTAGAGTGAGTGCCGTGGCATCAGCCTAGCTCACAGCAACCTCAAACTCCTGGGCTCAAGCAATCCTCCTGCCTCAGCCTCCCGAGTAACAGGCATGCGCCACCATGCCCTGCTAATTTTTTCTATATATGTTAGCTGGCCAATTAATTTGTTGCTATTTATAGTAGAGACGGGGTCTCGCTCTTGCTCAGGTTGGTTTTGAACTCCTGACCTCAAGCAATCTGCCCACCTCAGCCTCCCAGAGTGCTAGGATTACAGGCGTGAGCCACCGCGCCCGGCCTAGGCACTGTTTTGATATATACAGATGAACTCATTTCATCATCACGATAACCCTGAAAGGTAGATCCTGTGGTCCCATGTTACAGTTGAGGAGCCTGAGGCACAGAGAAAGGAAGGACCTGCTGAGGGTCACGCAGCCCGTGGCAGAGCCGGGACTTGAATGCAGGCAGTTGGCCCCGGGCGCCAGGGCTGGCACCTGCTTTGCTGAATCGCTCCCATGTAGTGGGGGCGGGAGCAAAGCCTGGGTACGGTGTGTTTGTCACCACTTTGAAAAACAGATCTTTGTTAAAATGGCAATGTGAATGAGTTACTCTTCCCTGTAAATGACAAATGAGTACAAAATTAAAGAACGAGAATTTTTTTTAGTACCTGTAGATGTTTTCACCTTTTATCATCTTATCCTTGTTTCTGTTAATAATTAACACTCATGTGAGTGGAAACTGATATCGCCTGAGGCGGAAGGCTTTCTAAAGGCCTGGGGACTCTGAGGCCAGGCTCTCGTGTTGCTGCGTGTTCCAGGGTCGACATGGTTCCTCGTAAGGGTCCTCACTGGCCAGTCTCTGCCTTCCCGCTGCACCCGCAGAACACAGGTGTGACTTTGTCTCCTGAGCACACCTGGTGACATCTCCCTTGGCTGCCCTCACCGCGTCTCTGGTAGGGTTTCCCAATAAAATATAGGATGTCCAGTTAAACTTGAATTTCGGATAAACGAGAAGTCATTTTTTAGTATGCTTATACCAAATTTTTATATGCTTATACTAAAAATGTCTCCTTGTTTATCTGAAATTAAAATTTAACATCCTCTGCTCCACCTGACCCCAAATTTGGCAGTTTTCTGGCCTTTATAGTCTTCAGAAAATACCCTCCGCATCCTTTGTGCCTTGTGTTTAGCCAAAAGGAGGCACAAATAGCCCACGTGGCTTTTCTTCTCCTTGGAGCAACTCTGTGCGGGGTCAGGCTGCCCTGGGTCCTGCCCGCTCTCTGCGCCCCTCCAGCCACCAGGCCTTGCTATGCAGGGAAAGCCGTCTGCCCAGTTGGGCAGCAACAGCATTTCAAAAGATTTCTGGACCTCAGGCAAGACTGTTTCTCACAGACCTTTTTCCTCCCAAATGAGTCAGCTTCCCTGTCTTTACGAACAATTCCAGACACCACTTGGGCATTCATAGGAGTTCCTGCCCCGGGTTGTGTCGCCAAAGGCCCCCTGGTCTAGGGCAGCGCTGGCCAATGGAAATGTAATGTGAGCTGCAAATTTAATTTAAAATTTTCAGGTAGCTACATTAAGAAAATTAAAGATGCAGCTGACATTCATTTTAATATCTTTAATCCAATAGATCCAAAATAATATTTCAACATGTGATCAGTATAAAAATTATTCATTAGCTATTTACTTTGTGTGAAGTCTTTGCAGTCCAGTGTCTTTTTCACTGACAGCACATGTCAGTGGGGGGGGGGTTGCCATGTTTCAAGTGCCCAATAGCCACTTATGGCTGGTGACCGCCGTATGTGAGCACTGCAGGCCTCGTGCTTAGAACAGGGGCTTTGGAGTCTGACTGACAAGACCCTGCCACCCATAAGCTCCAAAAGCTCCTTCCCGTTTCTGAACCCCAGTACTGCCTCTTTGAAAGGAGCATGAAAATAGTACCCATCTCTGTGTCAGCCATAAGGCAGAGTACTTAACACAAAGTAGCCATTTTTATTCTCGTAACATCATTACTCGTTGATTATTATTATTACCCCCATAGAAAATTGCCACAGACATTACTAAAGCAAAACCCAAGGCTCAGAGAGGTTAACCCTAACTTTCTCAAGGTCACACACTGTGTATTTGAAACCAGCTCTTTTGATCTCTTGAACCCTAGCTCTTTATCATTTTGCCTTCCTTTCTCTCCTTTCTGACAAATGCCAGCCAGATAGAGTGTCCTTTTGATGCTGGGAGTTGACGTCTTTGCTAATCTGTGACTGTAGAAGGATAAGTCAGGGGACAGAAGCCTTAACTTTGGTGTTCCAGATGCTCATGCCTCTTTGGACAACTTCTGCTCTCTGGGAGTTTGCCTTCAGTTACTGAAACACCCTTGCGGCTGGCCACACTGATAGGATACAGCGTCTCTGGCATGTTTGTCACGTTCTGAAGACACGCCCACGTGAGGAGAATGTGGGTTTCATGGCCATGCCCAGGCTATCTCCCAGCAGGGACATCTCTGCAGTTGGCCCATCTCCTGTCACACATATTCCCCTGCGCTGCAGTTGGGGGTGGTGGTCATGTTCTCCCTGGCTCTAGGGGCTTCTCCTGGGAGTCCCCTCTGAGGATTGGCTGCACAGCACTGGGGCAGGGGCCGGTCCTGGGCTGATAGCCTTGCCACGGAGATCTTCGCCAAGAACTGGACCATGCTCCTCCGGGCACCAACTGATGTGTCCCAAGGGAGACCTGGTGCAGGACACAGGTCCAGCCATTGGCTTTGGCAGGCAGTAGGTGCGGCTGGGTTTCCTGGGGTCCCTGGCTCCCCACCTGCCCTGTTCTGGTAACTACATTTCTCCTCACCCTCACCACTTCCTCCCTAGAGGGGCCACCAGCTACTCTTGCCTGGGTGTTTCTCATAGATTCTACCAGCTATTCCTGTAACTCCTTTGTCTCCTAGTTTAGTCTCAACATGGTATTTATCTTTCTTTCTTTCTTTCTTTCTTTCTTTCTTTCTTTCTTTCTTTCTTTCTTTCTTTCTTTCTTTTTTGTAAATTAGTAGGCTTTATTTTTTGGAGCACTTTTACGTTTATAGAAAAATTATTCTTCAACTTTGTTTGAAAGGCTGTCAAAAAAAAAAAAAGAAAAGAAACAGTAAAATAAAAACTAAAAAACAATAAAAATTAAGTTAAAAGTATAGAGAGCCTGGTCAGAAGGCAGTGAGTTGACTCAGTTGTTGCTCACAGTCAGTCACAAGTCCAACTCCTTGTTCTGCTCTTTCCCCCTTCTCACTACTGCACTTGACCAGTCTTTAAAACAAAAGTACGGAGAGCCGCCATATGCACTCCTCCCCCCTGCAGAGTTTACCCTGTTATTAACACCTTGCACTGGTGTGGCACATTTGTTATAGTTGATGAATGAATAGTGATGTATTATCATTAACTAAAGTCCCTAGTTTACATTAGGGTTCGCGCTTTGAGTTGTGTAGTTCTGTGGGTTTAGACCCATGTATGTCGTGTATCCACCATCACAGTACCATACGTGATCGTTTCCCTGCTCTGAAAATCCCTGTGCTCTGTCTGTCCGTCCCTCCCTCCTATTCCCTGGCAACCATTGATCTTTTTACTGTCTCTGCAGTTTGGCCTTTTCCAGAATGTCGTACAGTTGACGTCATACAGTAAATAGTTGACATCATACAGTAAATAGCCTTTCAGCGTGATTTGTTCCATCTAGCAATATCCATTTAAGCTTCCTCCATGTTTCCTTCATTTTTTAGTCACTGAAAAACATTCTACTTGATGGGTAAAGCACAGTTTATCCATTCACCTATTGAAGAACATCTTGATTGCTTTCAAGTTTTAGCGATTATGGATAATGCTGCTATAAACCTTCCTGTGCAAGTTTTTTTTATCTTTTTAAAAAACTTTTTTATCGTGGTAAAAATATACATAACATAAAATTTGGCATGTTAGCCATTTCTAAGTGTACAGTTCAGTGGCACGAAGTACGTTCAGGTTGTTATGCCACCATCTCCACTTTCCAACTCCAGAACGTTTTCATCGCCCTAAAGTAAAACTCTGCCCACTAGACAGTGACCTGCCTCTGTAACCAGGATTCTGTTTCTGTCTTTAGGAATATGACCATTCTAGGCACCTCATATAAATGGAATCATACAATATTTATCCTTTGTGTCTGGTTCATTTCACTTAGCATAATGTTTTCAAGCTTCTTTTTAAACTTTTTATCTTGAAATAATTTTGGACTTATCAAAAAATTCAGAGAGCCCCTGTCTACCCTTCATCCAGCTTCCCCTAATGTTAACATCTTACATATCCACAGTATAATTATCGAAACCTGGAAGTTAACACCAATGGAGCATTGTTAACTACTCTCTAGACCTTATTCAAATTTCATCAGTTTTCCTATTCATGTCCTCTTCCTGGCCCAGGATCCCATCCAGGATAGCAAATTTCATTTTATTGTCATGTTCCCTTTCGTCTTTTTCAGCCTGTGACAGTTCTCCAGTCTTTATTTTTCATGACTGTAACAATTCTGAAGAGTCCAGCCCTGATATTTTGTAGAATATTCCTCAGTTTGAGGTTTTTCATTAAGATTAAAATTATTTATGTATTTCATAACATTTTTTTTGAGACAGAGTCTCGCTTTGTTGCCTAGGCTAGAGTGAGTGCCATGGCGTCAGCCTAGCTCACAGCAACCTCAAACTCCTGGGCTCAAGCAGTCCTCCTGCCTCAGCCTCCTGAGTAGCTGGGACTACAGGCATGCGCCACCATGCCTGGCTGATTTTTTCTATATATATTAATTGGCCAATTAATTTCTTCCTATTTATAGTAGAGACGGGGTGTCGCTCTTGCTCAGGCTGGTTTTGAACTCCTGACCTCGAGCAATCCGCCCGCCTCGGCCTCCTAGAGTGCTAGGATTACAGGCGTGAGCCACAGCGCCCGGCCTGGTGATGAAATTTGGGTCAGGAGCTTTATGCAATTATTTCATTTAATCCTCACCAGAAACACTTGGAGATGAGGACTGTTTTTATTCCCATTTTATAGATGGGAAAATGGAGGATGCAAGGGGTCAAACACTTGCCCCAGGTTACAGGACTAAGGAAAGGTAGCCTGGAGATCTGGCCCTCCTCTCTCTAGTGCCAGAGCCTGTGCTCATAGGCACCTGCAGTTTGCTGTGGCCGGCATGTCTTTGTGGAATGGCTTGTAATTGTGTTTGCCACGCACAGCTAATCAGAAAGATAAAATGAGCTAATGGCCATGAGTGTGTTTTGTACACTATAAATCACTGTCCACATGTGAGCATTGTTAATATTATTGGTGTGATTACAGCTACCATTTATTAAGTGCTCACAGTACTAGCCTGTGCTCTACCTTGTTCTGTCACTCAGTTCTCCCGGCAACCTTGTGAAACTGAAATGAAAAATGAAAAGTCAGAAAGACTTTTCACTTGCCCATGGACACGCTGGTTAAGCCTTGCGGTCTCATGGCAGAGCTGGAGGGACTCACTTACCACCTCTCTGTCCCAGGCAAGGAGACCTGCAGACATGCCCTTGGTAACTGCTTGTTGTGTGTTCACCCCCAGGTAACTTATTCCTGGAATTCCAAGAGGAGTTGGAGCAGGTCTACAAGGTCTACTGTGCCGGCTACGAGCAGGCCTTGCAGCTGGTGGAGGCTTACCGGAAGGAGCCAGAGCTGCAGCGGGAGATCCAGGGCATCCTGGAGGCGGTGGTGTGAGTAGAATGGCCAGTGAGCGCTCACTGCTGCCCCACTGTCCCGGGCTCAGGGGCACTTACAGTCTCATCCCTACGTGGTGTCACTCACGCGGCTTCAGGCGTGTGGCACCATCAGTGCCTGTGACAGTCAGGATGGGGCGGGCCGTGCTGCAGAGACAAACAGCTCCCACATCTCAGTGGTTCCAAACAACGAAGGTTTATGCCCTCTTTAAGCTCCACTGTGGGCTGACTTGGGCCCTGCCCTTCGTCATTCTCACTCCAGGACCCGGGCTCACAGCAGCCACCCCCTGGAATTTTGCCAGTAACTGTGGCACAGAAAAGAAGAGGTCTGGAGAGTCTAACACTGGTAATTGAATGCTCGGTTCCAGAAGTGATACCCATCGCTTTTCATCATTCATTGGTCAGGACTAATCACAGGTTCATCCAGCTACCGGGAGGCATGGTGCGCCGTCCTCCCATGGGTCCAGAGGCGGAGAAGCAGAAACATTTAGTGAACAGCACTCGTGACTAGCGCGGGGAAGGGCAGTGAGGTGGCAGGAACCGTGTGTCGTAAGCAACAGTGATGGGAAGCAGGTGTGTATCACCTGAGGTGCCCTCTCTGCAGGTGGCTGAAGTCTTGCCACGGGGAAAAGGATCAGGACAGCCCCAGTGGACTCACAGCCTCGAGCTGGCACCAGTGGGTGGAAGCTCCAGGTAGAGAAATATAAGGAACATTTTTTTTTAATTTAAATTTTTGAATGAATAACATGGTTACATGATTCAAAAACTTTAAAACATCAGAATTTTTTGCCCAATAAAGGAGACATGTAAAAAGAAGAAAAATAACAAAACATCAGAATTTATGCAATAAAAAAGTCTTGCTAACCTGTCCCTTCACCCACCCAATTACCACTCCCAATGTTAAGGTAACAACTTTTACATTTCTTGCCTATCTTTGCAGAGTTCCTTTTTGCATATAAAAGCAGTTACAAATATATACTCTTATTTGCCTACCTTTTAAACAAAAGTTTCTATCTTTTTTATTTATATGTGTGTGTGTATATATCTATATCTATATGTATAATCTCCTAATCTTAGAGGTCTTTCTGTTTCAACATACAACATTCATGATGTTTCAAACAGCTACATGCTCTTGCAGTTACACAGTTTATTTAACTGGTCTCTATTGATGGACATTTGGTTTGTTTCTATTTTTTTTTTTTTGACAGAGTCTCTCTCTGTCACCAAGGTTTGAGTGCAGTGGCATTATCACAGCTCACTGCAACCTCAGACTCCTGGGCTCAAGTGATCCACTTGCCTCAGCCTCCTGAGTAGCTGGGACTACAGGCATGCACAACCTTGCCCGGCTAATTTTTTCTATTTTTAGTAGAGACAGGGTCTCATTCTTGCTCAGGCTGATCTTGAACTCCCACCTTGGCCTCCCAGAGTGCTAGGATTATAGGCATGAGCCACCACACATGACCTATTCTTTTGATATTACAAGTAGCGTTACAATGGTTATTTGTGAATATATGTCTTTTACTCTGGTGCAAGTATATCTGTAAGGCAAACTTCCAGAAGCAGAATTGCTAGGTCAAAGGAAATACGTGTCAATACTTTTGGTAAACTTTATAAAATTTCCCTCTGTAAAGGCTATGCCTGCTAAATTCTCAGTATGTTGGAAGGAGAAGAAAAGAAAAAAAAGAAAAAGAAAAAAGGCTATGCCTGCTCTCATTCCCAGCAACAGCACAGCCTCATGGGCAGAGGCTGTTATCAAACTTTAGAATATTTGCCACCAAGATAGGTGAAACATGATGCCTCAATATGGTTTAATTTTGCATTTATCTTATTATGATTAACATTGGTCATCTTTTTGTATACTTAGGAGTCATGTGCATGTCCTTTCCTATGACTTGTTCTGCTTCTTTCTGGTTTACAAAGGGTTTGATCCTTTTGTAGTTCATAAGTGTGATGATTGGGTTTTCACACTCATATGTGTGATGTGTCTTTCTTAAACCTTGTTACCCCATGTTGACACATTACCTGTCTGGTGTGAAAAACCAATAGGGTTATGTCTTCCCCAGGACAAGCTCCCCAAATGGAGGTAGACGAAGGTCATTTTTTGGAAATCCGGGGAATGTAGGAAGAGGAGGGGTTATTATCATCATCATCATCATTGTTATTATTAATTTATCTCCCTCAGGCATTATTACACCTAAGAGAAAGACATTGTAGACCTAGGTCTTTGAAGACGAAATAATCCCATGTGGAGCCTCCTGCCACCTCCCCTCCTCCTCGCCCTTATCGTTTTCTCACCTTTTAGTCACCCTCTTTCCTCTGAAGTCTCCTTTACAGGAGCCCATGTCCTAGCACCGCTCTGCCTCCAAAAAAACTATACCCGTTTTCCCGTTTGATTCATCTCTTCATGGGTCATGCAGACGTAGGCTTTTGCAAGGATCACTAAATACATTTCTACAGGAATGAGGCGGGTTACAGAAAAGAGGGAAGCAAGGTGCCGGATGTGGGACACAAGGAAGCAGTGGAGACTGTGGCAACCCAGAGAGAATGGACCCTGTGTAGAATATATCTGCAGTGCAGCCTTAGCTGATCACTGCAATGTCAAGTGGCTTTTGCTAGGTGACAAGCCACCCCAAAGCATAGCGGCATAAAACAAAGATTTAGCTCGCACCTCTGCATGTTAGCAATTTAGCTGGCCTAGTAAAGGATCCTTCAGGTGCTCTCTGAGCGCCATCATGTATCTGCAATCACTTGCAGGTCAGCGTTGCTGATGTTGGCTGGGCCTTTTTTTTTTTTTTTTTTGAGACAGAATCTCACTTTGTTGCCCAGGCTAGAGTGCCATGGTGGCGTCAGCCTGGCTCACAGCAACCTCAAACTCCTGGGCTCAAGCGATCCTCCTGCCTCAGCCTCTTGAGTAGCTGGGACTACAGGCAAGCGCCACCATGCCCGGCTAATTTATATATATATATTTTTAGTTGGCCAATTAATTTGTTTCTATTTATAGTAGAGACAGGGTCTTGCTCTTGCTCAGGCTGGTTTCGAACCTTGACCTTGAGCTCCTGACCTTGAGCAATCCACCCACCTTGGCCTCCCGGAGTGCTAGGATTACAGGTGTGGTGTGCACGGCCTGGCTGGGCTTTTTCACGTATCTGGGACACATGAGCTGACTCGGCTCTCGTCACAAGGTCTCTCCTCTTCCTTCAGGCTAGCTTGTTCACGTGGTGGTCACAGCGTTCTGAGGGCAAAGGGGAGGGCAGCAGGTGGCTTTGGCTGGGAACTGGCATACTGCCACTCAATCAAGTCCTAAGGCCAGCCCCGACTCAGGGGTGGGGAAACAGATGCCATTTCTTGCTGGGAGGAGCTTCAAAGTCACATTCAAAGGGCTGTGGAGGTAGGGAGGGGAGTAACTGCAGCCATTTTTTGTAAACCATCTATCTACCTCAACTGCCAGGCAGGAATGTGGGTCCGCCGTGGCTAGAGCTCTGGTTTTTCAAGAGAAGCCAGAAATGTAACATCTGTGACATCTCCCGAGTGTTCGGTGCCGGCATCTAGTTCAGACATTTGGGAGCCCCGCTGGCACGGAGGCTGCCGTGTGGTACGTCCTCTGCACCCTTGTCTTTCCCAGCCAGGCCGGCTGGGCTTCCCTCGTGGGCTCTGGAGCCAGGCATGAGGGGTGTAGCTGGTCGGCCCCTCACCGCAAGAGACCCATTTCACGGCTCAGAACCTACTTTCCTTGTGTGATACATGGGAGTGATACCAGCACCTCATGGGAACACTGAGTCATTGCATACAAGTGACGCTCAGTAAACCCCAGCTGATATAGTTGTCTTGGCTAGGCAGGGATTATGTTTTTCTGAGACCACCCTGTGGTTCTCGACTGGATCAGTCCCAGTGCCCCCCTTTTTATAGCAAATATTAAGTAAATTTCTTATCCTGAGATATATCCTGAAAAAAAAATATATATATATATACACATCTCCTACCCATATATGTAACTGAAAAAATCAATATAATGGTTTAACTATAATATAAAGGAAAAATAAAAGGAAATGATATCTATATTTCAGTGTGCAAATGCTTGGGCACCACTGCACCACAAGATACAATGAAGCAATCAGGTGCTGTATCTACTTATAATAAATAAATCTGGACTTAAGAAAAATCTGAAGCCATTCTGTACAAAAAGTATAGGAAAATGAAAGCGCAGACAGTGTATGTACCCTGGAATAACAAACCTGACTTCCTTGTGTATAATAACAGAAACAAGGAAACAACATCATTGAAGTAGGGATTTATAAAAGGTAGTATCTAGGACAAATGAGGATGGACAAAAGAAAAAAAAAAGATATAAAAGGTAGTGTCCTAGTAATTAACAGTGTTATGACATGTGACTGGATGGAGTCCAAGTGTCACAAAAGTATTTTGGTTCTTTAAATTGCAGCACATTTTGAGGCCTGCGTTCAGTCTCTGAATGTTCAGAGGGCCATGTGGGACATGGAGCAAGTCTCTGCAGTGCGGCACGGTCTTTGCAGGAGGTCCCTGGAGCCTGGTCCCTGGTCCCTGCCCGCTAAATGCCTGTAGCATCACTTTCCGGAGCTTGGTGAACCTAAAATGGCATGCGCACCCAGCCAACATCCGGTTCTTTCAGTCATTAGATGGATGTCACTGTCTAAGATTCTTTGTGATTCCAAAAATGCAGCTCTCTAAAGCTTTTTTTTGGTTTATTTTTGTTGTGTTTAATTTTTTTTTTGAGACAGAAGTCTACTCTGTTGCCGGCAAGTCGTGCCATCACCATGCTCAAGCAAACATCAGACTTGCTAAGTATCCTCTGCCTCAGCATGAGTAGCTGGGACCGCAGGTATGTGCCAATCATGCCAGCTAATTTTATATCATATATCTACGTATATATTATTTAAAATATATATATATATATATATATACGTATATGTGTGTGTGTAATAGTACATATATATAATATCTCTTTTGTTTTAGTTGTCCAGCCTAATTTAGTTTCTGTTTTCTTATTTTTTTTTTTTTTTAGTAGCGATGGGTCTCGCTCTTTTGCCTCAGGCTGGTCTCGAACTCCTGCAGTCCAAATGATCCACACAGCCTCAGCCCTCCACACGAAGTTGCTAGGATTACAGGCATGAGCCACCATGCCCAGCCTCAGCCTTTGTTTTAATAGAGTTTTCAGTTTATTCTTTCAAGGGCCGCCTTCCACTTGAGAGCCAAAGAGACAGAAGACTCACCTTTGCAGCAGGCAGGAAGCTCTGCCTTAGGTAGGCCCGTCCTAATGACACAGCCTTGTTACAGGCTGGATCCGGTCTGGCGAGGCACCGCATCCCAACATGATGGCTGAGGCAGCAGAGTTTGGAGAAGGAAAATAATCTTCTTTGTTTTCCTTTATCAGATTAACTTATATTTTTTTATTGTATTTTTATTAATTTTTTTGAGACAGGAGCTCTTGCTTGTTGCCAGGCTAGACGTGACGTGCTGTGGGCATTAGTACCTAGCTCACAGCAACCCTCAATCCTCCCTAGGCTCCAAGCAAATCCTCCTGCCTCAGCCTCCTGAGTAGCTGGACTACAGGCCATGTGCCACCATGCCCGCTAATTTTTTCTTATATATTTAGGTGTCCACTTAATTTCTTCTATTTATAGTAGAGATGGGTCTCGCTCTTGCTCAGGCTGTTTTTGAACTCCTGACCTCGAGCAATCCTCCTGCCTCGGCCTCCTAGAGTGCTAGAATTATAGGCGTGAGCCACCCGCTCCAGTCTATGTTTGTTTTAAACATAAAAGCAATATATGCTTGGGGAGGGGTGAGGGACAGAAACTTCAAACAATACACAGTGTATCAAGTAAAATAAATAAAGGTCCATTCCCCCTGGGTCTTCGGTTTCCCCATTCTTCCCCCTAGTGGTTAACATTTTCCATCCAGATTTTCTTCTGTATATTTGTAGACAGACAGACAGATGGATAGACATAGCTAGATAGGTAGGTAGCTAGCTAGATAGTATTTTTATGGGGCTTCTTCTATCCATGCTGTTCTAGAACTTGCTTTTTCACTTAACTGTATAGTCATGAATATCTTTTCAGGACAGTATGACTAGTTCTATGGTGTTCTTTTTAATGACTGCACAGAGTTCCTTTCCAGGGAAGCTCTTAAACTATGCTTTATTTGGCCATTCTTCTATTGATGGATATTAGGGTTGTTTCTAGTTTTTTATTATCAGAAATAGAGTCACAGAACAACTTCTACCTTTATCACGGCTCACTTTATTTTGTTGTTGTTGTCGTTGTTTTTGAGGCAGGTCTTGCTCTGATGCTCGGGCTAGACTCTAGCAGACAGTGGTGCCAGAGTGCAGTGGTGTTGTCATAGCTCATTGCAACCTCAAATTCCTGGGCTCCAGTGATGGCCTGCCTCAGCCTCCCAGGTAGCTGGAACTAAAGGTGTACACAACCACACCTGACTCATTTTTAAATTTTTTGTAGAGCCGGGGTCTTGCTGTGTTGCCCAGGCTGGTCTTGAACTCCTGGTCTCAAGGGATCCTCCTGCCTCAGCCTCCTGATGTGCGAGGATTATGGGTATGAGCCATTGCTCCCGGCCAGTGGGAGTCGGTATTTCTGTGGGTAGATTTCTAGGGTAGGAATGATGGAGCAAAGCGTTTGTACAGTTCACAAACTGTCAAAGATGTGGCCAAGAGATACTCCCACCAAGAGAAGTCAGAAGGCCTTTCCCCACACTCACCCAGCCCTGCTACCATCTTTCAGTGTCTGTTTCCTACTGAAAGGCGAGATGTGAAAAGCTTTGTCCACATCGCCTTGGCAAGGCCGTAGACGGGGGAGGCCGCCATCATTCTGTGGCGACTCCTTGACCACCGTGAGGTGAGGAAGGGATGTGATCATCTCTTCTTCGAGGGCCCTTGCCCTCTGGCTTTTGAGGCGACAGTTGTCCCCAGGAGGCAGTTGGCTCTTTCCCATGGAAAGTAAGCCCAGAGGATGGAGTTTTGCAAATATCTGGCAACTGTTTACACCTCCCCTGCCCACAGTCAGCCAAGCTGCAAGACACCCGTGGTGAGAGCAGACGGTCAGCGTAGGCGTGTCCTGACGGTCCTCCCACCCCCCGATGCTTCTGAGGGGCTCCCACCTGCTCTGCCTATTCTTAGCCTCCTGGCCGATCGTTCCTGGACACTCGGTCTGGAGATTTTTTCCTTAGGAAGAAGAGCAAGGGGCAAGACGACCATCAGGGAGGGCCTAGACGATGGTCCCGGGCAGGTTTGTGAGTCTTCTTGGAGGAGGCACAGTCGGACAGTTGAGGTTGGAAACCCTGTGGGTTTCTCCGAAGCTGGGCCTACGGGCTACTGGTCATAGTCAAGGAAAGACTCTTGGAGCTTCTTCCCAGGTGCCGTTGACTTGGGGGACTCCTGGAATTCCAGACAGCCTCAGGAAGGGGACTAGTCATCCAGGCATCAATGGTGCATCTGGAAGGGACCTTGGCACTATTCGTTCCAGTGTTTTGGTTTTTTTTAAATTTTTTGTAATAAAAGATATCCAACCTATAGAAAAATAGAATAATGTAATGGACACTCACGTACCCACCACCTAAAATTAATAAGAGTTAACATTTTGCTGTTTGCATCATCTGTTCTTATGCTAAACTATGTGAAGGAAATTATAGGTATGATGACTTTTTACCCCTAAATACTTTAAATGCACCTCTAAAAATTAAGTTCCTGTGATTTTAAACACTTTCTTTAAAAAGCAGCAGACCATTTCATTTAAATGAAATATCATGTGGTTACCCAACATATAGAGTGGTGCTTGGGACATCCCCAAGTGGAGACAGTGTCAAGTGGAGCCGTCAAGTAGGCAGTGGAACGTGTGAGTCTGGAGCTCTGGACAGAAGGTGGAGGTGGAGAGCTGGGTTTGGGATGTGTTTAAAACCATGTAGGGAGAGAGGGAGAAGAGGAGGCCCCGGGACACCCTGGCATTGGAGAGAAACTGGCAGAGGAAACTGACAGAGCAGCCCGCAGAGTGTGAGAAGCAGGCCAGTGGGTGTCCCTGGGGCCAAAAGAAGAGAGCGTTTCAAGCAAGAGCGCTATGGCCATACCACCCCGAACGTGCCTGATCTCCAGTGTCGGAAGCTAAGCAGGCTTGGGCCTGGTTAGTACTTGGATGGGAGACCACTTGGGACTAACGGGTGCCTGTAGTCCCAGCTACTTGGGTGGCTGAGGCAGGAGGATTGCTTGGACCCTGGAGTGCCCAGATGACAGAGCAAGACCCTGTCTCAAAAAAAAAAAAAAAGAAAGAGAGAGAGAGAGAGAGCATAGTTAGCCATGTGTGCTATTGATAGGCAGAGTAAGTGGAGCACAAAGAACCAACCACTGGATTTGGCACAGATGGGGAACCAAGGCCCGGAACTAGCACTGCCCACCTAACATCTAGACCTCACAAACTACAGACGAGGTAACTGAGGACCATAGAGGGAGGGCGACCTGCCTAAGAGCACAGTCAGTTAAAAGGCAGAACCAGGACTGGAGCCCGGGCCCCCTGGTGCCCCGAAGGGTGGGCCTTCCCTGCCTAATACCAGCCTTCTCCCTCAGGCCACAAGCTGGATCTTCAGGCCTCACTTTCTTACTGGTCACCCCTCTGCAGAGGATCACCAAGTACCCACTGCTGCTGCAGAAAATCCTGGAGAACACACCCCCTGATGCCAGTGCCTACCCCATCCTTGAGAGGGCCACCTCTGCCCTCCAGGACGTGAACGCCAACATCAACGAGTACAAGATGCGCAAGGAAGTGGGTAAGACTCGGGGCATTTAGGGGCTACATGAGTGAGAATGCTGCCAGTTACAGAAGACTCATCTCAGGTTGGCTTCACCAATAAAGAGAATGCAGTGGCTTGTGTAACTATAAATCCAGAGGTAATGTGAGCTTTAGGCAGGGTTGGATCAGGGAGCTGTTTCATTTCCCTGTAACACTCCTGCCTTTGCTCTTTACTGTGCATCAGCTTCGTCTATAGCCTGGTCCCCCCTCGTAATAGTAAGTGGCTATTGCTGTTCGAGGACTCGCACCTGCACACCACACTTTCCAGGGTAAGACAGGGGTTTTCTCCCCTTAGCCACAAAAATTGAATTGGAGCTTCACTCTGATAGGATCCACTTGGGTCATGTGCTCATCCTGAACTAATCACCATAGTTAGGGTGCCATGATCTGATTGGCTTAGGACAGGGGGTTATGTGCCCTTCTCTGAGCCAATCACTGCTGCCAGGGGGATGGGATTACATGGATGGGCTTATACCAATCGGCAGCCACCTGCTCAAGTCAAAGTGAGGTCAGCCTCGTCCAAATCGCATGGCTGCTCCACCGTGAAGGAGAAGCAGTCCTAGAGAGATATATATCTGGAGGGGTGGGGGAAATCCCTGCCTCTCAGGTTGTTAAAACAGAAAAGTTTGGAAAATAAAGCTGTGTCCCAAGTATAGAGAAACTCAACTGCACAATTGAAGCAATACAAAAATGATAATTCAGCTTATGTTTACTATGGGCTAACTGCTCTGCTTTCCCTTCATTATCATAGTTGATCCTGGCACTCACCCTCTGGGGCTGGCCCCTCTTGCCCCCATTACACAGTCGGATAGAATGAGAGCTTACATCATTTGTTCCCGGTCACAGAGCTGGTAAGGGACAGAGCCAAGTTTTAAACCCAGGCCTGGGGTCTCCGCCACCATGCTGTGCCTCACTCGGTAGCTGGCTTCTCCGTCCAGGTCAAGAGATCAGCAGGAGGCTCTGAGTCGGGAGCGGGAAGTGTGGCTCCCGGCTGGCCTGGCTGAGGCTGGCAGAGGGACCCCAGGCAGATGGTCCCCTCAGTGCCTTCTTCTTCAGGAAGTCCATGCAGACCTGCTCGAATACATGGCCGTCCCAGCAATCCTATGAGGAGGCTCGCCTCATTTTACAGATGAGGAAACTGAGGCCCCAGGGAGTAGTGACTTGCCAAAGCCCAGCAGGCAGGAAGCTCTCTCGCCAGGGCTCACGCCTCGGACGGAGGACCCTGCGCTTCTTTCTGCAGGACTCACCGTTCTCACGGACGTGACCCTGAGGGAGCAGGGGGCCCGGCGTGTCCGTGACGCTTGCTTTCCTAGGTCAGCTTTGGTCACGGGCCTCCCCTCTTCCCTGTCGGTGCAGCCTCCAAGTACACCAGGGTGGAGCACCTGAGCCTGCGGGAGCGGCTGGCCCGCATCAACACGCACACCCTCTCCAAGAAGACCACCCGGCTGAGCCAGCTGCTGAAGCAGGAGGCGGGGCTGGTGCCCAGGGTGAGTGGGGGACCTGGGAGGAAAAGTCACTCCCCAAGCGCTCCCAAGGGGCCAGACCCTGTGCCGTGGACAGGACAGGAAGCGCGGGCTCTTTTCAGGAGTGAGGCAACTGAGGCCGAGAGAGCGAGGGACCAGGGGGAGGCAAAGTTGGCACCCCCACCTGATTCTGCAGAGCCAGCGCAGGGCTTCCCCACTGAGCCTTCGGCCACTCTTTCTCCGGGGCCTCTTCACACAGATAGGAGAGCTAGTCTCTGGGTCTGAGCAAAGAACCGACCTCCAGTAGCTACTGGTAGCAGCTCTGGCTGGTTGAGTGCTTACTCTGAACCGAGCATTATTCCATCCACACAATGAAGTAGCAGGTGTTTATTATCCCCATTTTGCAGATGAGAAAACAGAGGCTTGGAGCAGATAAAACACTTGCCCAGAGTCAGACAGCTAGGAAGCGAGTGAACCAGGACTCCCATGCTCCTGTGTCTGATTCCATGGGCTGGGTGCAAATCTAGTGAGCTACACTGCTTTCTGAGTGTCCCACCCAGCTCTGAGGCTGTTAGAACTGGCTCTCGTGGGCCAGTGGGAAGGTGGTCCCCAGTGAGGACCTGGGACAGGAGCCCTGGTGTACACTGCCCCCATGTGGATCTTCCCAGCCTTCACACACATACCTTTCAGACGGAAGACAAGGAATTTGATGACTTAGAAGAGAAGTTCCAGTGGGTGTCTCTGTGTGTGACTGAGCTGAGGAGCAACGTGGCTGCGTACCTGGACAATCTGGAGGTGAGGACCCTGTGGAGTTGGTGGTGGGCAAGTCTGGGCTGGGGCCCCCGTGTAGGAGGCGAGCGGGGCCCAGCCCATAAGCGGGCAGAGGCACCAGCTGCTGGAACCAAACGGATGAGGTCATCTGACAAGCACCCCTCAGCCCGGGGGCCAGCTCCTTTTTTTTTTGAGACAGAGTCTCACTGTGTTGCCCAGGCTAGAGTGAGTGCCATGGCATCAGCCTAGCTCACAGCAACCTCAAACTCCTAAGCTCAAGCAATCCTCCTGCCTCAGCCTCCTAAGTAGCTGGGACTACAGGCATGCACCACCATACCCGGCTATTATATATATGTATATGTATATATATATATATATATATATATGTTGGGCAATTAATTTCTTTCTATTTATAGTAGAGATGGGGTCTCGCTCTTGCTCAGGCTGGTTTCGAACTCCTGACCTCGAGCAATCTGCCTGCCTCGGCCTCCCAGAGTGCTGGGATTACAGGCGTGAGCCACCGCGCCCGGCTGAGGGGGTGCAGCTTCTGAGCCCACTGGGGCTCCTCCTGGGCAGGGCCAGAGTTCACTGGAGTCAGAGCTCTCCCGAGGGACCCTGCCAGACCAGCGCCTGGAGCAGGGGAGACACGCAGGTGCCTACAGGGCCAGCAGGCCGTAGTACTGCGAGAGGAGTGCGGACAGCAGGCAACCCCACGCGGTAGAAGCCACATGTTGTCTATGAGGCTTTTTCAGGAGACTCACATATAAAATGATGTTTGGAATTCGAATGGCTGAATGGGCGCATACCCGAATAAGACCTAAGGGAGCAGCGCGCTCAGCTCTGGGGGCGCTGCTGTGTGGGATGTGTGCCCGGTGCGGCCGGCATTTCCCATTTTAATTTTTTAGGAAGCCTGGGCATTCAGATTTTAGGCAGAACCTCCTGATGTGTCCATGTGAGCAACGGCGCAAATAAAGATTTAAATGCTATAACAGGCCCAGGAAACATCTGAATGCAGCCCACAGGGCCGTCAGTATGCACGGCCCTCCGGCGTGTCACTCTCCTCAAGCCCAGGTGCCCCCTCATCTCGTCATCAGCGGTGACTCATCCCATCCGCGCTGCCTCCGTCCCGTGGTTTTGTTCCCAGTCGCGTCCATTTGCGCAAACCGGCTGGGTCAGAGATGATAATGGGCTCTTTGGATAAAGGGATTTGGAGTGGCTTTATTGGAAGTACGTAAAAGGAAGGCGGTCGGTCGCTGTTCCACGCTCCTCCGTGCGGGGCGATCCCGCTGCTTGTTCCTGCTCCGTCCTGGACCCCCCCCCCCCAGGGCGGCAGGATCCTGTTATAGCACAGTGAGCCCGAGGGGGGGACACACGCAGCCAAGTCACAAAAAGCGGGGGAAGGGCGGTGGGTGTTGGGCCTTGAGAGGGATAAACCAGAGGGACAGGAGAGAGACAGCTGGCTTTGCGGGGCAGGATGACTATTTGGGAGCATTAGAACCGAATTTCTGTGGACGCAGGACTTGCACAGCAGAGACGGCGCTAACACAGAATTTCTCTGTGAGAGAGGGATTCCCTCTTTTAATCCTCTGAGTCAAGGAAAAGCCTCTTTGCTGATATGTCTTTAACACATGCAGAACGGGTCTCAGGCTGGGGGTCTTCAGCCAGCAATGATAGCCAGACAGTAAAATTTAAGAACATTTTTTGTTGTTGTTTTTTAGAGCACTTATTTATAGATGCCTGTGTATGGCAGTTATTACCGGTTTTCCCTTTATGGTAGCATCACAAGGTGGTTCTGACTTTTTTTTAAAAAAATGCATCCATTTAAATAGGAACGGTTAGTTGGCTTGGAGGAAAGCATTAATAGAACATGTGGAATATGGACATGGCAAAAAAAAATCACAAAGGTGAGATGCACATGTGTGCAGTTCAGGAAGCGCTGGAATAGGGAGAAGGATGTTGGCTCCGTGTAAGGAAGAACTTTCTAATCACTCAAGTTGTGTAAGGACAGAGTGGGCAGTGTGTGTTCCTGCCATGGCGGCGGGGGTTAGAGGTGGGTGGAGAGCCTAGACAAACCTCTTGGGGAGGTACGAATTCAGGCATAAGACGGCGACAACGGGCCATGACTGGATGTCTCCCCTCTGTCCTGGGTCCAGGCTTTCCTCGGATGCAGGCCGCACGAATGCAACCTGGACATCCCCGGGGGGCCGGTGGTGCAGTATTGCCACCTGGCCAGGGACCTGCAGCTTGAGGCCTTCCTGAACTTTGTGAGTGGAACTTCTTTCTCCTTTCTTTCCTGTAGGCTCCATAGGTGGCAGAGCCTACAAGAGTAATGTTTAGAAGTCAGGCACTGTACACTACTGTCACATCCACAGCCAGCTGGGTGGTCGGGAGCATAGAGATTATTGTTAGTGCATTTTCCTGATAAAAACAGCCCAGCTGAGGTTTACGGAGCCTCGCTGTCTGCCAGGTACTGTGCTAAGCCCTTTACTTTCTTTGCCTCGTTTAATCCTCATGGCATGGCCTTTGGGGGGGACACTATTAATAAATAGCCCCATTCTGCAGATGGGAGCTGAGGCTCGGGGAGGGCGCCCTCTACGTTATCTATGCAGATGGTCAGCGGCTAGCTTCGATCTGAGCACAAGGAGTGCCCTCTTGACCACCACTCTGGGCAAAATCCTTTTCAAGACCTTTACATGGCAATGCTACTAAGAGGTGACCTGTCCTTACAGTCTGGTCCATGCCAGGCACTCTGTTAAGCTCATTACTTGCACTGTACCCATTTTTCAGAAGGGCAGATTGAGGCCCAGAGAGGTTAGGTAACATGGCAAAGGCCACAGCTAGTCGACGGAGGTGGGACTGGAATCCAGGCCCGCCGCCTGCCTTCGATCCCCTTCTCCCAGCCCCTGCCCTCCGCCACCTGCTTTCCCCGCCGCCAAGCTCATCCCTCCCTGCAGAAGCAGCGGCTGGAAGGCCTGGTGTGGCGGCCGCTGTGCAGCCTGGCCGGAGCCCTCGCCGGCCCCCGGAACCTCATCAGGAAGCGTCTGGACAAGCTCCTGGACTTCGAGCAGGTGGAAGAGAAGCTGCTGGAGGTGGGCAGCGTGACCTACGAGGAGGAGGCCACCCGGCACACGTACCAGGCGCTCAACTCCCTGCTGGTGGCTGAGCTCCCGCAGTTTAACCAGCTGGTCATGCGGTGGCTGGGCCAGGTCCTGCGCACGTTCGTGGCCCTGCAGAGGGACCTCGCAAAGCAGGTGCTGCAGAGGGCAGAGGGCAGCACGGCCCAGGTAAGGCCACTGGGACTGGGGCGCCTCCGGGGAATAGCCGGGCCAGGCCTTGCAGCCCCTTCAGCCAGCTGTTCGCAGAGGCCGGGAGGGAGGGGGGTGCGGGACCTTCCAGATAGGCCATAAGCACTTAGGAGGAGGCAGTGGAGGCCTTCTAGATCTCTCTGTGCCTATTCTCTCTCCATTACTGGAGTCAGACCATGAAAGCAATGATCAAACTCGGACTCAGAAGCAGAAGTTGTTTTACTGGGAAAATGACAGAAGTTGCGACCAGTCCCTGGAGTGTATTGGAAGTTGGTGACAGAGACAGAAAGTCCCTCTACACAGTCAGGAGTAAATGTCTCAAGCGGGTGTTACTACTGCTATCACTACTTCTAGCAGCTACTTCTCACGAACCCCAGATATTGTATACCTGTTTGGAGCACTTTCCATGCGTTGGCTCATTTCATCCTCACAACAGCCCTACAGAGTAGGAGTTACTATTATCCTCATTTCAAAAATAAAGAAGCCGAGGCACAGAGAGGTTAAGTAGTTTGCCTAAGGCTGCGCAGCTAGTAGCAAGCTTTGAACTCTCACAGTTCAGCTCTAGAGCCCGGGCTCTGAGCCACAATGTTCAAGAGCCTGTAAAACGAGCTGTCGGCTGATAGCATTAACAGGTTCCAAAGAGGTTTGGACAAACCTCCAAATACAAACTTGGATTTTGGAATTTGAAGACTGGAGTTGATACAGGAAAGAATGCCCAGCTGCTTCCAGATCTTGCTGTCTAATGTCAGCATCAGAGCCGAGAGGCTCGTGGTTCCCACCTCGGGAGCAATTTCAATACTCCTCATGCCACGCTCTGTCTCCTGTGTTTCATGGTGCCCAGCTCAGCTTTCCCCATCCCATTCTTTGCATGAAAATTGTCTGAGGTTTGCCTTCCCCACCTGTCACCTTCCCCACCCACAGCCCCACTCCACGCCTGCAGCCCTCCCCCGCAGCACAGCCGCGTTCCCTTTGCACAGGCCCTTCCTCGCCTGGAATGCCCCTTTCGTCCCCCGGGCCTTTCCTGGTGTCTGGCTGTATAGTGGGAGCTTCCCAAGTAGGTGACAGATGACTGAGTCTCTGAACAAGGCTCTCAGGATCCCCGTGCCCTGGGGGGGAGAATCAATCCTTCTCGGTAGCCTCCGCCCTCCGGCAGCCCTGAGGATGCTCTTCCGTGGACCCCTCCCAGAGCCTGTGCGGGCTGCCGGTGACACAGTGAAGGTGTCTCTCCTCGGGCAGCAGGGCTGGGACTGTGCGCATTTCCCGCCTTGGGTTGGCGTTATTCTCAGGCAGGTGGCAGAGATGCCTGCGGACACCTCCAAGCACATGCCTTCACATCCTGGCTGGGGGCGGTGGCTCACGCCTGTAATCCTAGCACTCTGGGAGGCCGAGGCGGGAGGATTGCTCCAGGTCAGGAGTTCGAGACCAGCCTGAGCAAGAGCGAGACCCCGTCTCTACTATAAATAGAAAGAAATTAATTGGCCAACTAATATATATAGAAAAAAAAAATTACCTGGGCATGGTGGCGCATGCCTGTAGTCCCAGCTACTTGGGAGGCTGAGGCAGGAGGATCGCTTGAGCCCAGGAGATTGAGGTTGCTGTGAGCTAGGCTGACGCCACGGCACTCACTCTAGCTTGGGCAACAAAGCGAGACTCTGTCTCAAAAACAAACAAACAAGCAAGCACGTACCTTCACATCCCATAGTGCAAAGCAAGAGCACCCTCCCATTCCCAGCCTGACACACTGAGTCTGGTGGAGGATTCCAGCTGGCCTTGCTCAGTGCGTGTCCGTCCCTGGGCCGTCACTGCGGGTGGGAGGAAGGAGCCCCGACCACCCCTCCTGCGGCCCGGCACCACGGCGGGCAGTGCGACTGGACCCTCACAGAGGGATACTTTCTTAAAGGAGAGTGGGCTGGGAGGCAGGCAAAGCAGTAGCTGACTGTGACAAAAAGGTGCACCTGACCACAGCAGGGGCTGGAGTGTGGGCGGCCAGGCCTCCCCGTCCCCTCTCTCCCAAAGGGGGCTCTCTTGACAGTGCCTGTTGCCACCTAGCTGCCCCACCACCATTTCTCCGAGCCGGCCTTCAGGAAGCTGGTGGAGGACGCGCTAGGCCAGAGCAGTAACCAGCTCCGCTCCTTTCAAGAGACCTTCGAGAAAGTGCCGCCACCTCCCACCATGCAGGTAAGCGGCCCTCCCTCCCTGCTAAAGGCTGCCCAGTTCTTCACCTGCCAGTGGGTGAGGCTCAATCTTCCCTCTCCTCTTCCTTTCCCCAGTGTTTTCTGTCACCCGTGGAAATGTTTTCTCTTCCTCTCTCTTCATCCTCTCTGTGAGCCCGCGGGAGCCGGGGAACATACTCCCACACGCACACACGCTCTGCATGGCCAGCCAGCAGAAGAGCAGCACAGAACTCTTGCGTCAAGAATAAGAAAACCCACGTTGTTTTTTTTTTGGAGACAGAGTCTGGCTGTCACCCAGGCTAGAGTGCAACGGCTCATCATAACTCACTGCAACCTCTGACTCCTGGGCTCAAACGATCCTCCTGCCTCAGCCTCCCAAGTAGTGGGGACTACAGGTGCAGGCCGCCATGCCTGGCTAGTTTTTACATTATCGATAGAGATGGGATCTTGCTATATTGCCCAGGCTGGTATCAAGCTCCTGGCCTCAAGCGATCCTCCTGCCTCAGACTCCCAAAGTGCTGGGGTTACAGGCATGAGCCACCCCACGTGGTCCCCAAATATTTTAATATTAAGTAACATTAGACACAATAATGGGCAAGAAGGACTAACATCCAAAAACCTGGAACTTCTTCAAATTTGTTATCAAAATGTATCCTTTTCCCTCCTTATCTTCTAATACCAGCTTCAGTACCAGCATTCAAGATGAACAAAATGTCTCAATAAGAAGTCATTCAAATTCCGTTTTTGCTATGATATTTTTTGATCGAAAAGGACAGTGTTTCAGCTGCGTGATGGTTTACAATCTCTGGCTGGGCAAATGCTTGTTTGTTTGTTTGTTTTTAAGTATTTTCCTCTAGGCTGAGTGCAGAGGCTCATGCCTATAATCCCAGCTCTTTGGGTGGCTGAGGTAGGAGGATCACTTGAGCCCAGGAATTTGAGGTTTCAGTGAGCTAGGACTGCGCCACTGCACTCCTGCCCGGATGACGGAATGAGAACTGTCTCTAAAAAAAAAAAATGTTTTAAAAAATATTCTCCTCTATAATGTAAGGAAAGGGCACCTTCCAGTCACGTGCAGAGTACACCCAGGTAGTCCGTGTCGTGGAGCAAGTGAAGCATCTGTAGGGGGAAGGAGCTCCCAGACTCTGACAGAACCTGGATTTGAGAAAACCAAGACAGCCCCAGTATTCCCCAGAGGGAGAAGGGGCCCCAGGAACACAGAGGAACCAGAGAAGGAGCCCAGCGGGGCAGACACAGGCGGCCTTTGCACCTGGCCAAGGTGCGGAGAACACAAAGGCCATCAGGGACTAATGTCCGCTATAGCTGGGAGGCTGACTCCTCCCCGGCCACAGCTGTCCCCGCCTCCTAACCCACACGGAGAGCTGCGCCCAGCAGCCGTCTCCCGGGGTGCCTGTGTCGCAGGGAAAGAGAAATGGTGCAGACAGTGAAGAACAGAGCAGCCTCTTGAGTGCACCGTGGGAAACTGCTCTCTCTTTCTACTTAAAACAAGATAAAATAACACTTGTCTTTAAACTGGGAAAGCAATGCAAGCTTATTGGAGAATAGTGGGAAGACACAGAAAGGCAGGAAGGAAGAAACGAATGGAAGCGTCCGTGATCCCAGTGAGCGTTGCGCTTTGGCAGGGAGACAGGGCTCTCCCAGCCTCCCCCTCCACACACACAACCCTCCAGCTGTGTTTGGCTGAGGGCGCAGAACCCGGAAGTGAGGTGGCCCCCAGGACAGGAGCAGTCCTGGTGATGTCGCTATGCGCCCTTCCCGGGGCCCCCGGGGGCGCTGCTGTTCTCCACACAGGTGGGGCAGGTCGGGCTGGAGGGGGCAGGCCTGTGTGCGCCCCGCCGCCCTCCTGAAGGACACGAGCCCAGCACCGCTGTTCTGAAAAGAAGCTGCCCGTGTCTACACTTCCCTTTAAGCACTGGCTTCGAAACAGCAGGCTCTCCCCGTTCTTAATCCTGACTCAACATCCCCATGGGGGTGGGGATGCCGGCGTCTGTGCCCAAATGTCCCTGGAGGGCACCTCTGCTACTCCTGGCACCAACACCCGTCCCCACGTAGGACATAGTGCGTGTGTATGCATATGTGAATATATATTTAACATTATTTAGTCATTGGTTTTACAAAAAGGGGACAACCACCCCTGAGTCTCTTCTTGTTGATGCTTTCTTTCGCTGGAGGCAGCGTCACGGAATGGAAAAACAGGAAATGCCAGGAGATTTTTGGATAAGCTGACAGTGCCATCGCCTCACTTCCCCCACCTGGATGGCACTTTCCCTCTGGGCAAGACTGTCCCTGTGTTTCTGCTGCACTGTTCACAAGGCTTCCGGCAGTGCCTTGTAAACAGTAGATGCTCTGCAAATACTTGTGGACTGAAAACTCATGGGATCAAAGATAACTTCCCCTCCCCTGGCCCTGGGCCGGCTGTTTAAGATGCCACTTGAATAGGGCCTGGTGCTCACGCGAGGCTCCCGGTCTCATGGGCTGGAAGACCTGTAGGGCCATTTTCCTGGGGGATGACTGAGCTTGATGTATGGGCAGAAATAAGGGCTCAATCCTAGGAGTGGGATAACCGAGAAATTTCAGAGCTTAAATTAGAATTTTAGAGAGTTCCTGAAGTTAGAAGTTTCTTCTGAAATGCCGTTGGATGCTAAGAGCCAGCCACCTCCTGGTGACGGCACCATTGCCCTGATGGGGACAGGCCCTCGGGTGGTGGAGCTGGGATCAGGCCCAGTGCTCCTGGCTCCCAGGATGTGAGCTTGGACGCGTTTATTCACGCACCTGTGTCTGTCCCTGTCCCTCCTCTCCCCAGCCACGCCTTCCAGGGTCTGAACGCCAGGTGCAGGCTCTCCTGAGCAGCTATGGCCCCGGGAAGCTGTATCAGGTGACAAGCAACATCAGTGGGGCTGGGACTCTGGACCTGACACTGCTGCGGGGCCAGATCGTGGCCCTTCTTCAAAGCAAGGACACCAAAGGCAACAGCGGCCGCTGGCTGGTGGACACTGGGGGTATGTACGTGGGCCTTTGCGGGCCCTTCCTCTCTTTCTGGGAGGAAAGCCAGTGGGGAGACACAGGCCCCCTTGTGGACCAAAGTCTGGCTGTGCAGATCCAGGATGGGAAAGAGCACAGGTGACAAATGCAGGGGCACAGTCAGCTTAGGGCGACTCAGTGGAGCACGAAACACCAGCAGGAGGAATTCAGTCTTTCATTGCAAGGTCCATCAGCAAGCACCTACAGCGTGCTGGGTGCCGTGCACATTAGGTGAGGACCTGCCCCAGGGGCCTCACGGGCTATCAAGGTGGGCAGAGCTAGATGGAGAGAACCCAGCAGCCCCTGCGAGATGGGGACACGCACAGGGGAGTGCTGAGGTCCAGGCTACATGACAGAAGTCTGATGTCCAGAATGAGGGAGGTGATTATCCTGCCTCCTCTGCACTGGTCGTGGCCGTGGGGTGTGCTGCTCAGGTCTGGGTGCCCCAGAGCCACCAGGCTGGAGGCAAGTGGCACCACGAACCCGGGAAAAGACGGCCCAGCAGAGAGTCTTCCAAAGAGGGGCACGTGCCCCCCAGGTGAGGGTTGCCCGGGACTACTGTGGGGGGATCCACAGATAGGTCTCCCCCTTCAGACAGACAGTTTATGATAATTGTTACTTCAGTATTTTAACTTTTCTTGGAAAAATATATAACTAGTCCACAAGCCCATGATTAAAATCATAGAATTGTATAGTACAAGACCAAGTTTTAAGAAGTGAGTCAATGAAAAAACTTAAGAAGGTGGTACAAATCAGATGGAAACCAGGAAGCAGCACTCTCCTGACCGAAGCCGGGAACAAAGGAATGGGTAGCAAGCAAGGCCCCGGGGCCAAGCGGGTTGGGTTTGGATTCCAACTCTGCCACTTTACCGTGTGATCTTGGGAGTTCACGGAGCTTCTCTGAGCTTGGCTGGCTCACCGTAAAATGCAGATAATGATACCAACCTGTGAGGACTAGATAATCAAGTGCCGGGGCGCTGGCACCTAGCAAGCCCTGGGGAAGTGACAGCACTGGAGTAGCTGCCACTGGAGGAGGACCTGGGGCTGCGTGGGAGGGAGAAGGCTCTCTCTGCCTCCTGGGAAAGGCAGTCCTGGGGAGAGGAAGTGGCTTGGCTCTGGGCGGCCACCAGAGGGGTGTGGGAGTCTGTGGTGCCAGCAACCAGGAAGGCAGTTTCCATGCTAGACCAAGGATGAACTTTTTAATCTCTGCCAGAGCTGATCAAATGGAGCGGGCTGCCAAGTAAGGAATGAGCCCCCTGTCACTGGGGGTGTGCAAGCAGAAGCTAGAAATGGTGTGTGCAGAGGCAGGGGGCTGAGGTTCCTAGATGACCTTTCCAGGTCCTCTTGGGTGCTGAGAAGCTGTGTTGGGGGCATTCACAGCCACTGACTTTCTCCACCACTAACAGGGACAGGAAGATGGCCTGTGGCCCGGTAACCTTCTGCTTGTCCCCTAGGACATCGGGGGTATGTGTCGGCTGGGAAACTGCAGCCGTACCGCATGGCCCCCAGTGAGGAGCTCAGAGGGCCAGCGAGGCCACACGAGGACTCCCGACGTCTAACACCAGAGCCCACGCCGGCCCCAGTGCCCTCTGTCCCCACCACGACCCAGGTGAGTCTGGGAGGGGCTCTGGACTGGCCTCCCCTCGGCCACCTGCACTGGGTCTTCCTCCTCTGTCAACATCTGTGCTCCTCCCATCTGCAGGGGCCACTCTGTGAGGCTGGGGCCTCTGTCAGTGTCCACGCCGGTGTCCTGGCCAGGGGGAGGGACCCGGGAAAAGTGGCCTCCACCCTGCACAGCAGCCCCAGAGAGCTAACCCCTCGCCCCCCATCTGCAGGGCAAGCGGGACTCGGTCGCCCATTCATTCATGCATTCGTTCACGCGTTCACGCAGCATCTGCCAGGCGCCGTGCTAGGCGAGAGACACAATGATGAACAAAAGTAAACCATGGGCTTTGCCTTCCTCAGACTTGTGATCTGGGGTGGGGAAAGCAGTGATTAATAAAATAACTGCCCGAATAACTGTGAAGTTAGCAGCAGAGATAAGTGCCGGCGCCCTAGGTGTGGAGAAGTCCAGGAAAGGTTTTGCTGAGAAGAAGGATGCTTTTTCTCAGCTGGGAAAGGTGAGAAGGCATTAACTGGATAAAGGGGCTGCTCTGGGGCACAGCTGGGAAGAGCTCTGGCACGTGCAAAGGCCCTGTGGAGCCCTAGGCACGCCTTCCTTCATTACATTCCCTCAGTGACCCAGGGGGAGGAGATCATTGCTTCCGTTTTGCATATGAGGAAACTGATGCCCCGAGAGGTTAAATATTAGCCTAATAAATGCCCTCCCCTCCAATTTTTTTCTCCAGTAAGCACTTGCCCCTAAAAAAGTAGCCAAGTCTCCCAAACTCCTGTCTCTGTTCCAAGCTGGGACTCTGGCCTGGGCGGATGGAACCCTTAGGTCTGGAGAGGGGTGGGGAGCTGCAGCAGTGGATCGAGAGCACCTGTTCTGAGGGCAGACAGGCCTAGCTTCGCTGCTGTGTGATTTTGAATAAGTTCCTTAACTTCTCTGATCCTCAGTTTCCTTATCTGAAAAATGAGGCAATTAGAAGGATAGCATTGTTGTGAAAACCAAAACCCAGGAAAGTGCTGGAACAGAGCAGTCACATGGCAAGCATTAGCTGTGGTGCCGGCAGATGTAGCCATTGTCCTTAGCACAAAGGATGGACTTGGGAGGTGATGAATGCCCAGCGGGGGGGGCAGAGCCAGGTAGGATGGGAGCAGGATAAACGGCCTCTCCGGGTTGAGTTTGTCTGTCTGCCCACCGTGACCATTCCCGTGTCGTCCGTTGCCCGTGTGTTTCAGGTGGTGGCAGCGTACGCCTTTGAGGCCAGAAGCAGCCATGAAGTGAGCCTGCAGGCAGGCCAGCCGGTGAGCGTGCTGGAGGCGCAGGACAAGAAGGGGAACCCGGAGTGGAGCCTGGTGGAAGTGAACGGACAGAGGGGCTACGTGCCTTCTGGCTTCCTGGCCAGGGCCCCCAGCCCAGCTCCGTGGGGCTGGAGTCTGCCGTCTTAGGGGCCCTCCCTGCAGCCCGCATTGCCGAGGGATGGGGGCTCAGAGCCTGGGACCCCGGAGGGAGAAGAAGCAAAGAAAAGTGGTGGTGGGAGGGAAGAGTGGGCCAGGTGGGTGAAGGCAGCCAGAAGGCGGCCAGAAGAGGTGGGTGGGGACTCTCAAGGCGCTTGGCGGCGTAGGTGGGCACAGAAGGCTCCGGCCAGGACCGCGCATTGTGTCTGCTTTACGAAGAAGCCACTCCAGCCCGGGGCCGCAACACGCTGGACGGCAGGCCACACTACGGCCACACACACGTGCTGTGCCTCCCTCTGGGCCCGCCCGCCCGTGGGGGCGGGTAGCGGGGTGAACAAGAGCCCGTGCTGTGCGGCTGCGGGGAGGGGCGCTGGGGAGCCCAGTTCACTTCCTGCGTGCGGGGTCAGGAGAAGACCCCGGACTGAGCCGCCGGCTTTGATGTCCCCATGCTGGGAGCTGAGTGACCGTGGGCAGCGAAGCGTCTTGCGCGAGGCGGCGGAGAGGCTCCCAGGAGACTCCTGGCTGGGCCTGGGAATGGGCGTGGCCCAGTCTCAGCTCTGGAATATGTGTGGGCACATTCAGAGGCTGTTCCAGGGAAGAGGGGACTTTGACGGTGTGTCAGGGAGGGTGTGTGAGGCCGCTGGCTGTTTCCTCTGGACCAGGGACAAAGGCCTATGCAAATCATGGAGGAAACCACGAAGCCGAAGCCGGTGACTAAAGCCCTGGCGGGTGGGGCGGTTAGGCAGTGGCTTGCTTTCCTGTTTCTGGGTAGAAGGGGAGCCAGGGGCGGCCCCTGGTGGATTCAGGGTGCCTCTGAGGGCCAGGAGGAGGTGGCAGATGTGATGCCAGTTGGCCGTGGGACCTTAGACATAGGGCACAACCTCAATTTTCCCATCCAGAAAGTTCCAGCTCGCAGGTTGCGGTGAGAATGATGTGAAGCCTACCATGCGGAGGCTCCTTGTAAACTGCAAAGCGTGATGCCAGTGTAAACGCCGTCGGCGTCTCAGGAGGGCCCCAGCCTCCAGCTGGCAGGGCTGGCCAGCGCAAGCGTCCCCGTGGCCACTCCCCACGCCTGTGTCCGTGGCAGCACGCACCGCTGACCAACATGGCGTCTTTTCCTGTCCCCCAGGATCTACCTCGGGGTCCCTCTCAACACTGCTCTCTAGCTGGCCAGTCTCTTAAACTGGGTGAGTGAGTCATCCCTCTCCAGAACCTGCAAGTTGGAGGCCCCAGAGACTGTTCCTGTTTGCAAGGAGGACCGGCGCAGCGGGGCCATGCTGGGCGCAGTCCCTGCGGGATCGTCATCTCTGGGCTGTCACTTTGGGCAAAGATAAATTGTGAGATTCACAGAAAGGGGCAAAGGCAATCCAGTGTGGTCTCTCTACAACTTACACAGTTTGGAACCAGCCCAAGGTAGAGTGTATGCAAAACAGGTGGCAGTTTAGATTTATTTCCAGGAACACTTCTGTGTTCTAACTATAGTGCCTAAAGCTATGAGCTCTGGTTTTTGAAGAGCTTTTAAGAAATATATATACACGTCTGTGTCAGACGGTCGGTAACATGCCTCCTCTGGGCTTGCTAAAGCACGAAGACTCTGCGTAATGCGGGAGAAACTCTGCCCCCACGATGCCTTTCTCAGCACCAAATTCATTTTATAGGATGCTCTTGACTCATTCTCCTTTCTCTTTCCTGCTCAGATTTCTGATAAAAATAGAAGCACAGGGGAACAGATAATAAAATAGGAAATCCGCTTGTGGGCTCCGCAGATACTTGCTGAGAGCCCGTTGCGTGCTTCTAGCTCAGAGGTTCTCAGTGTGGCTGTTCGCTGGAGTTACCTGGGCAGCTTGCAGCTATGGCACAAGCCAGCGTCCCCCGCACCCAGAGATTCTGATGAAATTAGTCCGGGATCTGGCTCGGACCTCAGAAATGCAGAAAGCTCCCCAGGTGCTTCTGCAGTGTAGCCAGGGTGGTGGAAGACCTCTGCCCTGGAAACACAGTGGAGGACAGGTGGAGCTGGGGGCAGAGGTGGCCGTGAGCTCTCAGCTAGCACGTGCCTAGCAGAGCTTTGCACTAGCTGTTTCAGACAGGCGGCTTCAGAGGCAGCTTGAAAAGGAACAGCCTGTTCTGTCAGGTCCCAGAATGTATATTTATTAAGTGCCATTAAAAGGGACCTGAACAAAATTGGATGTCTTGAAGGCATCAGGGAGGGAAATGAAACATACTTGGAACCAAGTCTATCTCATGAAGGGAAAATAAAAACGTATTCAGTAGCACATGGGCTATGGTTTCTCATAGACCAGGGGATAAGATTAAAAGTCACCGAGGGGTGGGAAAATGCATATTGAGAAGCTGGAGAGTGCTTGTTTTTCTCCAGGGGACTCTATAATGTGCCTTTTCCCCTCCAAATGCCTAGAACCGTCATACTGTGTCCTACTGATTTCACTGTTGGGCTGCCACGTACTAAACTTGCTCAGATATTTGCCTGTGAGCTGAGCAAGACTTCCAGGAGTGGGAGACTGATTCGCAAGGGTACCCCTTGCTTCCTGCAATGGAGTGAGACCTCTTAAATTCTTTGGGCCCCGACTCAGTTTTCAATAGGAGGACAAGATTACAGTATCAAAAGAAAAACAAATGAATTCTGGCTCAGTGAGGAACTGATGTGAACTGCTGGAAATAAAGGATTTCAAAGATGTAAATGTCGCTGGCATTCGTGTGATCCAACTGTTGGGTAGTCAGATGCCCCAGCATGTCATTGGTTCGCTGGTCACTTGCTATATATATCAAAGTGGCACCTTGTTCACTCCTGTGTTCATTTAACAAGTGCACACACCCTTCGTGCCTCCAGGAGCTGGCCTTTGCTGCTGAGAATGCAGGAAGAAGCCAGACCAATGAGGCCCTGTCCTCCCAGAGCCCACCGTCTGGTGAGGGAGCCAGACAAGTCAGCTGTCACTTACACGTGGCCTAGGTGCCAGGATGGGGCAGTAGCAGGTGCCATGCCAGCCCAGGCATGGGGCCTGCCTCTGCGTCAGACTTGGTGGCCAAGGAAGGCTTCCTGGAAGAAGTGATATCCAAGCTGAGGCCCAGAGGGTGGCTGGGATTAGGCGGCAGGGCGGGCACGTGCAGAGGCCCAGACGTGACGAGTGTGGCATGTCAGGGAGCTGAGATGCTGTAGAGCGAAAACACAGGGCATGTACGGGGGTGTTAGCAGGTGCAGTTGGAGAGGTCGGCACAGGGAGTAGCCTTGGGTTTTATTCTGAAGGTAATGGGAGCCCCTAAAGGGTTTGAGGCAGAGGAGTGACATGTTCGGGGGGTATCTTAGGAGACCCCTAGGCTCTGGCGGCAGGCCTCGTGTGCCCACAGGCGACTGCGTGCTCTGCGAGGGTAGGAAGCCGTGATTCGTGCTGGAGTCTCCCTGAGCCTCTGCCACGCGGCTTGAGTAATAGATGTTCAATACACATTGCTGAGAACATCCGAGAGATGGGAGAGCAAAGCCCTGCCTTCAAGGAGTCCCCGGCTGGCCGGAGGGTACCAGCATCAAGCAGTTGTCTGGCCTGTGAGGAAGGATGTCCTCCGCCCCAGCCGGGTGCTACGGGCCAGGCTTGTGGGTGTTCTGCTGAGGGTGAGATCTGGGCAGGCCAAGGTGGGCAGGGGCAGTTTCCCAGAGGAGGTGTGGCAGGCACTTGGCCTTGTGGGATACACAGTTTTGGGGAAAGCAAAAAGGACAGGCCAGGCGCGGTGGCTCACGCCTGTAATCCTAGCACTCTGGGAGGCCGAGGCTGGCGGATTCCTCGAGGTCAGGAGTTCGAAACCAGCCTGAGGAAGAGGGAGACTCCCATCTCTACTATAAATAGAAAGAAATTAGTTGGCCAACTAATATATATAGAAAAAATTAGCCGGGCATGGTGGCACATGCCTGTAGTCCCAGCCACTCGGGAGGCCGAGGTAACAGGATTGCTCGAGCCCAGGAGTTTGAGGTTGCTGTGAGCCAGGCTGACACCACGACACTCACTCTAGCCTGGGCAGCAAAGTGAGACTCTGTCTCAGAAACAAAACAAAACAAAAAACAACAACAACAAAAATTCAGTGTCAATTAGTAGGGAAACTAATTAAAAATTTAAAAAAAAAGCGGGGGGGACAGATGCCTTCTCAGGCCTGGGAGGCAGGTGGTGGGAGGAAAAATGCTCAGCTCTTGGCCATAGAAAACCTGAGTCCAAGGCCTGCTTGACCACCTTGGCCTACTTGACCAAAATCCTTTACCACGGTTTCCATCATGGAGGAGTTGGGCGATGTCCCCAGCCCGCCCTGTCCTCCCCACCTGGGCCCAGAAGCACGCATGGCAGAGATCGGGCTTAGCTCAGGGAGCCCTGGCTCCCTCCTCCGGGGCCTCACCTCTGACGTGGAAGAGTCATTTTAGGGCCTGTGGTGGCTGGGCAGAGCCTAAGGCACTCCGGACCCGGGGTGAGGAGAGCGCTGGATTGCGCTCCGGGCAACGTCTCGGGGACTGGGGTCCTGAAAAATCCACGTGCTTAACCTTGTGGTTTGTTTTCAGCAAGTTCTCATCTGCGAGAAGGGCACCACGCTTCCTGACCTCGCAGGGCTGGTAAGAGGATGGCATGAGACAGTCAGGGTGAAGCTGGTGGAGGGACATGTCCCTGCCGTGGGTGACGGAGAACCGGGCGTCGCTGCTGTGTGTGCGCCCTGTGACCACCAGGAGGCAGCAGGGCTCTTCCAAGCAGCTGAGGGACGGCGGGAGGCGCCCGTGGGGTGGTGGCAGGTGGTGGGAACGGGAGGCGCCTCGAGTGAGAGACATCAGGGAGTGGTGGGGACTGCGTTGGAGCAGACACTCGGTCTAAGGAGCTGCCGCTTCGTGGCTCCGGTCAGCTGCTGCCACGTCAGAATGAGAGCCCCGCGGTGCCAGAGTTCTGATTTTTCAAGACGAGCCAGAGTTTTTGCTTATTTGTTTGTTTTTATTTACTTCTGCATGTGAAATATTCTGGGTGGAGATTACGGGGTCCGCAGCAGGCACCCTCTGCATCTTCTGCCTGAGAGTGGGTTGACTGTTGGGGTACAGAGTTTTCCCTGGAGCATTCCTTTCCTGCCTTTACAGTTCCTGCAAAATGCCTTCATGTGTCCTCACGTTCCTCGTTACTTCGTCAGACATTAATCTCCCCTCCTTAGAGCTCGAAGAAGCATTGCTATTGTTGTTTTGCTATTGTTGCTGTCTTCAAGCTTTTATTAGATCGTTGGTCATCTTTTCTGACCCACCAGCGAGGATCCTCGAAGTACCTCTCTCGCAAGGCTCTTTGGTGATTAAATGAGATACTGATATAAAATCAGGTAGCCAAGCACCTGGCTCATCGGTGCTCATTATTATGGGGACTTCAGAAGAGTGCATGACATCTGGAGGTTTGCAGGGCCCATCTGCCGCCCGTATGTGGCATAGTGACAAGGCCTGGACTCTCCCCTGTGTGGAGGCAGCCCTGGGTCCCGAGGGCTTGCCTGGGCTTGGGCACAGCTCTTCACTCAGGGGCTGCTGCCGCACCCAAAGGCATTCCTGGGACCTGCCTTCCTCTCCTATCCCGGGGCTGCCGGTCTAGGGCAGTGGCCATGGGCGTGTATGGGCCTGGACTCTCTCCTGTGTCTCTCCAGCTGTGGCACTTTCTGTCACCCGCCTCATCCGGACAAGGACAAGACAGGGAATCAGCCAGTCATCAGGCTTGCCGGCTGCTGCTGGAGCAGCTCCTGTCGTCCTAGGCCCAGGGCAGCCGGGAGCATCCTCCCGAGTGTTCCCAGGGGACCCAGCAGCTTTGGGGCCCAAGATTCCTTGCAAGAGGCTCCAATAGAGGATTAGGGAGTAAAAGGAAAAGGGGCAGACCGAGCTTGTCCTCGTGCTGACTCACAAGCCTCGTAGGCTGGGCTCAGGGCACCAGCCGCTGGTGTTTGGTTAATCACTGGAGGTCTGAGGTAGCCCCCCTTGTTTCCAGAACATCTCAGGGTGCTTCTGGGTTCCCCATCTCTGGCCTGTGTGCCTGTCATCGGTTCTCAGGGGTCCTGGCATCCTTGGGGCCTGTGAGTGGAAACTGAGCTCTGAACAGTGACTGCGGGTTTGGGACAGACTTGGACACCAGGAGGGCTGGGCCAGAGGAAGGTAGAGTAGCAACTGCCCCTCCTGAGCCACCCATGTCTCCAGAGGAGGGCCATTGGCTTGCTTGCTGTCACATCTGTTCCCCGCGCCGCTCTGCTCCAACCGCAGGGAACTGTATTTCCCAGCCTCCTTTGCAGCTGGCTCCCTGGTAGTTTGGGCCCCCGGAAGGCTCTGGCAGGTGGGAGACACTGAGGCTTCCCCTCCTCTGTGCTCTGGGCAGCACCTCTGCCAGGGCTGGTCTCCTCTGTGGCTCCGACCCCCGCTGGACGGCCCCTCCCTCATCATCCCAGGTCCCATCACACGGGTCTGGCCGTGCTCCCAGGGTCCCATCAGGTGGCCCCAGGCGCTGGGCACTACCACTACTGCCTTTTCTCTATGTCCCTCCCTCCTAGGGGTTGTAGTGTCTTTTTGCCCATCTCTGGGGTGCTTCTCAGATCTTCTTTCACCTGTGTAACCAACTCCCTATGTTAAATTCCTTCTGTTCAGATGCATAGCGTGGTTTCTGCTTTCTGACTGGACAGGGGCTGATACACACTCAGGAGCCAGGGGTGCAGGCAGGGGCTGCGTCTTGGTTCTGCAGGGCTCCCGGGTACCTCTGCCCCTTAGGCTGCCCAGCCCTTGGGGCACACTGGGTCTGCCTGCACCTTCCCTGGGTCAGGGGACTGTCAGCTCTCCCAACACGGAGCTCTTGGAAGTGTCTTCAACCACAGGGAGCTCATGGGTCAGGCTCCAGGATCAATGGCCGTGGGAGTCAGCTGAGCCGCCCCAGTCTTGGCCGGCTGAGGCTACTACTGCAGGGCCCAGAGCAGACAGAGGAAATCCACGGGCCACTGTGTCAGAGCAGAGCCAGGCTGTGGGCACGGGCCAGGCCCTATGGCCCTGGGGCAGGGGGAGGGGGATGAGATTTTCCAGCCCTGGTGCCTAGCAGCTCTGTCCCTGGCAGCGAGCCCCAGGTCAGGGAGATGGGAAGGGGGTCGTGATTCTGGCCAGGGAAGAGGCTGCTGGTCTCGATTCTGGGGTCTCGGGGCTCCTGGACACATATCAGGGGAGCCTGTGGTGTGGGGATAGACTAACGCATTGACAGCAATAACTGCGGCTTCTATTCACCACCCACAGGACTGTTTGAGGCTTACATGCGGGAATCCACTTTTCATGATTAATCCGGTGCCTGGCACATAGGAAGCTCCCAAGAGCTGCAAGCTTAAAAGGCCAAATACAAATCTCAGCAGCAGCCAGCCGCTGTGGGCCTCATTCTGTAGGTGTGTCACAGGACAAGCAGTTGGGATTGAGCCTCGGGCCTCTCCCCTGGGGCAGGGCTGGGGCTGGGGACACGGATCCAGTTGCCAGGGCTCGAAGAGGGTCGAGTCAGGTGAAGGGGTGGTGAGCTTGGGAGGGCACAGCGATCCCAGGGCTCAGTTCCCAGGGACGCAGGGAGGCAGCAGGTGTCCAGCAGGCAGTTGGAGCCCCAGTGGGACACTTGGGGACAGGCACCTCCTAGTGTCCAGGCAGGACAGAGGTCAAAGCCAGGTCAGAGATCAGACAGCAGGGTTC